GAGGGAGGAGCTCAAGCGGTCTGCCTTAGACCAGGTAGATCATGAAAAGCTAAGAAATTCAGAGTATGGCTCTCCTTTTTCTTGCCAACACAAGTTCAGAAAAAAGTAATGATGCAGCAGAAAAGTTGCATTGAGTGGATTTACTACTATCTAGAAATTCCAGGCAAAAAATGAAAATTGCTCCAGAAAATAATGCAATAACATAAATAGTATATACCATGGTGGAAATACATTAATAGATAATGTGTCTTGAGATTATGCTTTGTGCCAACATCCCAGTATACAATACGCATAGAAAGAAAGACAGCGGTGTGAGGAAGACTTTAATGGCACCACGTATAACAGACCACCAAATAAATAAAATAACAAGTTTTTGAATATCAGATTAAAATCCCACACTAAAAGAAATGCTCAGAGTGAGTTGTGAATCAACACTCTATATTATTCACATCACAGACAAAGCGCTTGCTTGCCAACAATTAAATGTCAGAACATATTTGTCAAGCACATCCTTAACATGTGCCCAAATGATCAATGCATTTCAAGACTTGCTCTTCCTCAGAGGAAATACTCTGAACCAACAATGATGAGGAGGGTTGTGATATTCAGCCAACAGAACTATGTTAAAACATGCCAATCAATGTGTTCCCATAATGATTTCAATAGGAGAAAATGCTAGTGCAAGCAGAGATCCTCAGAGAACTTCACATTTCAAATGGAAGGACCATTTTGGTGCACGGCCGACCTCAGCAAACCAGCCAGGGGAGAACGGTAGTAGCCACGCAGTAGTACCACTTTTGCACAATGGATTTTAATAACTACAAAGTTGTGATATTCACTAACATTTTTAATATATTTGTATGAGAATTATTCATAATTATATAATTATTTGCAAAAGATATGTTTTTTAGTTCAATGTTCATTAAAAAAATACATGGGCCTCATTGACTCACTGGCTGTGATTGATATTGCCACTGCAGTGTGAGTCAAAGACGAGATAGAGACCTGGGAGAGCTGCGGCTCTCATGCACATCACTGAATTCAAAACAAGGATCAAGTAAGTATTAGGATGGCTGAGGTGGGAGGTGCACCCAGAAGGTTTTTTTTTTTTTACCTTAATGCATAGAATGCATTACGGTAAAAAGACTTCTGGCTTAAAAAACACTTTATTTGAACTATGCTTAATTAATTGTATCTTGGTTCTGCATCCTTCCCACACATTGTATGTTTTCTGCGCAGGACTGCAGCCTGTTTTTACATAATTCTGTGCATAACTCCATTCTGGCTGTCTAAAAGATAGGACTGTCAACATTGGGTGACATCAGAATTTCTGTTCTATTTAATATTTATTTATTACAGGTTCTTTTATAGTGCCGTCAATTTACAAAGCACATGTTCTGGCTGGAATTCACATTTAAAGTGTTACTAAACCCACAACAGTAAAATCAGTCTGTATATGCTGTAAAGCATGCTTGTTATACTCACTGTGGAACCTAAGGGGTTAATCCTCTGCAGTGTGAAAAAAGATCTGTCGATCCTTTCTTCTCTGCTCCTCCTCTTGTTCAAATGTCCACTTCTTATCTCCTGATAAGACAGACTGAACTGTAGCCATTCTGCACATTCTCAGTTTAGTGTGGATTTTTTTTCTTGGGAGAGTGCATGTGATCAGCACAAGGCCAATCAGCACTGTCCAGACAGAGGTCATGGGTTCTGCATCCTACTAGAGCAGAAAGAAAACTCCTCTTACAAGCTTTAAACAATGTCCGGCTGGACACTGATAGAAGTCACAAGACTGCTCTAACTGTTGATAAGAAAAGGTATTTAGCAGTTTATATTTACTAAATAATTACACTTCCATGTTCTGTGTGCTATGGGAGACCAGATATAGTGAATGCAGGGCCCTGGGTTTAGTAACACTTTAAGGTTGGCATAATAAATTTTAGAATTACAAAATGCAGTAAAAATGCAGATTACATTTATTTTTGCTATTTATGAGATACGAATTACAATTTTAGCTTTATATTTATAACATTTTCTAAGGAGGAGCATATCAGAACATAACCAAGATTAGGTTGAGATTGTGGTGTCAGATATTTTATTTAACTTCCTGTTAGAAGGCAGCTTCCCCTAGTTCAAGTTTTATCTTGATTTTTCACGCACACACACCATAAGATTTGTTAAAGATTTGGTTTTACGGAACTTGTACTAAGTTTTTTTCCAGGCAAACTAATACAACTGGTGGTACACAGCCAACTGCAAATGGACATCACCCGTACCTTGTCAGTGCTGCTTCCCTCCATAATATACTGATACTAAGACATACCCAACTATCTGAGCATGCAATGCTTGGTGCCTGAGTTGCCAATTGCCAGGCCTCAGCACTGTCACATGGGGAGTGGGCATGCCAGACCAAATACTGACTTGCAGAATGTTTGTATCTTCATAGGATTTGCCGGAGACTGCATCCTTAGATAGGTAGATGTCACTGAGAAGGTGAACGCACATAGCTGTGACATCGGCATGGTTTCTAGGAACACAATACAGGTTCATTTTAGGGCTAAGGCAGGGTTGTATTTGGGCATTGCGGCACACCTGACTGCTGATACCCTTTTGTAGTAATGATTGTAGCAAAAACCAATGCTAGAATGTGCTATTGGAGGAAACATGCTGCCTGTTACATATTTACAGCCACTGTTTAACTGTTCTTGCTGAATGCAGCCATAAAGGCCTAGAGGTGGTCAAAAGATAAAATAACATTAAAACGAGAAAAAAAATGACACCTTTGTAGATTTTGAGGCCTGTCACCCTAGAAACCAGCACCTCAGTGCCTTTGGTCATCATACCTCGAATCACAGGGACATATCCTGAGGTTTAAAAATGTATCAGACTGGATGTCGCTCCATTTCATTTAAATTGAATAGGCTCTAATCAATGTCAGTTTCTTGTCTTCCCCCCAACAATAATCAGATTCTTCATTGTTTTTCTTATTGGTGAGGGTAGGGGTACAATGGGTGTACCCCATACTCATTGGCCAAAGGGGACTTCCAGATTCTAATAAGACCCCCACAGCCACTGTCCAGGGTTTCTGGAAGAGGCATACAAAAAACCTCCGAAAAGACATCGCCAAAAGCCGCACGTTCCTGAACCCCAGAACGTGACACACAGGAAACAGCTCATCCACTCCCTCATCATATCACGACGACTATAAAACTCCCTCCTCACTGGCCTGCCTCGCCGCTGGCTATACCCTCACAGTCCATCCTGAACACGGCTGCCAGACTCATTCACCTTTCCAACCGCAATGTCTCCGCCACCCCCGGTCTGCCAATCCCTCCACTGGCTTCCATTGGGAAAATGGGATACAAATTCTAGTGTCCCTGTAGCACGCTGACACAAAGCTGTCCTTCCCTATAGGTGTATCCGAAAAACATCACATGCATACCATAATATCCAAGTAAGGGATTAAACAGTAACACTCCGCAAATCCCTCACAAGGACCTCCTTATACTCTAGTTCCCTGGTCACATGTATACAATAAAGCAAGCACAATATCGTCAAAAAGGAGAATAGCAGGCCTCAGGCCTGTATGAAAGAAGACATAAATGTCAAATATATTATACAATACATTCCTGTGCCGGCACAAGTGGTTGGGGCCCATTCATCTGTAATATACCTAGCTGTTTCCTAGGAGCACCTTGATGGGAAACCCATTTCTTCCAGGATGGAGCCTAAAAGATGCACAAAGCAGCACTCTCCACTCTTCCTAGTGGTTCCATTCGCCACAGCTATCCTCCTGGACTGCCACCACCCCCTCCCTCCTAGATTGTAAGACACATCGAAAGAGCTCTTCCCTTGATCCCCTATGTTTTGGTGGTATTGGTATTGTATCTGTCAACGTTCTGTCTCCCCATTTGTAGTGAAACAAGCGCTGAGCGAACTATTGGCGCTTCATAAATACTGTATAATAATAATATAATAAGTGTCATACATAGCTCTGGGCACAGAGGACATATATCTAAGCTTAAAATGTACTTACTATTGCAGAGATTTTCATTTATAATTAATAGGCTTAATCAATGTCAGCTTTAACCACAATAATCCTTCCTTTTTTTTTGTATCTCTTTTGGCTGACTGAATGGAGGGTACATTGGGTGTACACGCTAATTTATTCAAAGGGGAACCTCTAATAAGACCCCCACAGCCACTTCCAGGGTTGTCTGGAAGAGGCCCTTGTCCAAATCAACATGGGGACAAGGTGCTTGAGGCAAGACACACCCCTATGTTGAGCATATGTGACCTGGTATGGTTCAGGGTGGGGAAGTCGCTCACTCGACTGCCCCCTTTTCTGACCTGCCAGGCTGCATGCTTGGATAAGGGTCTGCTATAGAACCCTGCTGACAGCTGATGAGTCATTGGTTGTTAACCTCCCTAGCAGTCTGATTATGTCCATATTTCTGTGCTCAAAGCGGGACATTTTTTTGCATGGAAATAAGTATTTTTTTTATAGTAGGCCTGTAATTTTTAGGAATAACTCATTGAAATCTGTCCGAACAAGAGTCTAGTAAACATTCCGGGTATGTTAAAATTTGAAACACAAAATCATAAATTATAATTTAATAAATAATCATAAAAATAATAATAATATAATAATACATACACCGCTTTTGACTTAAAGGGACGCTTTTTGGACGCCATGGACGTTTCTCAGTTTCCAGGCAGAAAGAACAGTCAAAATATAGGCAGGGCACAGGACAAAGCACTCGGGACAAAATGTATGTGAAATGCTTTGATACAGTAATGTTTTACTATGTGATTTTAGTGAATGTCACTTTTTGTCATTTTCAAATTTCCCGCCGTTCCGTCCCCATACATCCCAATGTTGCACCCAGAAGACAGATGCCGGCATCCGCCGGAGGACAGTGCCGGGGACACTGCAGGAGGGACATCGCGGGAGCATAGTAGAAGGTAATAGAAGAACAGATCCCGGAGCAGCGCCGCATGGTAAGTCCGAGTGTAGCTCGGGGTTACCGCTTGTGGTACTGAAACTTTACCCCGAGCTACACTCGGGAATACTGGCAGGGAGGCTACTGACGCGGCGGCTAGATTGCCGGCCCACTCCTTAACCATTAGCCGCCCGGCCAATGGCCGTTTGGCGGCTTCAGATGTGCTCCTCCATTCCGGGTGCACGCCATTTGGCGTGCTCCCGCACATGTGCAGTTTGCGCTAATGCAGAGCGGCGCAGCAGCGGGATCTGTCACGGGCCGTGCACCTCGGACACAGCCGATGACAGATCCGAGTACCGGCTCCCGTTGCTGGTACCATGTGACCTGCTGTGACCAATCACAGCAGGTCACATGACAGTTGTATACATGGATGGCTTCATTCATGATGCCATCCATTGTATACTAGTGCCTAGCTGTGAATGGTCACAGCTAATCACATGCACATGTCATGTGATTAGCTGTGACCAAATCACAGCTAAGCACAAAAAAAAAAAAAAAAAAAAAGCTGAATGAATCGATTTCATTCAGGTAAATGCTTGCTTATAGCAAAGTAATTCTTTGCTATAAGCAAATTGTGTAAAAAAAAAAAAAAAAAAAAAAAAAAAATACTGATCACTTCCCTAAAGTAGTACAATGTTACTATGGTAACATTGTACTATTTTGGTCATAGTAAAATATGAAAAAAAATCTTAAAAAAAAATAAAAAAAAATGTAATAAAAAATTAAATATAATAAAAAAAATTAAAAAATTAAAAAAAATATATATTTTTTTTTTTTTTCATACTGTCACCAGTCAGTGTCCCTGTTCACCACCATGCCAGTTATATGATGACGCTGTACTGCACTGGTGACAGTATGTAAAAAAAAAAATAGTGAAAATTATTTTTTTCATTTTTTCATTTTCGGAAAAATTATGACAAAAAAATACAACTTCAAAAAACTCGCCATGCCTCTTATGAAGTACGTCGGACTGTCTACTCTGCAAAAAGGGGTCATTTGGGGATATCTGTACTATTCTGACATTCTTGGACCTCAAGAAATTAGATTGGCCGTCAGTACTTCAGGATTGATCAATATTCAGATCTATACCATAGTTTGTGAACTCTATAACTTTCCTACAAACTAAATAATACATCCTAATTTGGGTTATTTTCACCAAAGACATGTAGCAGAATACATCTCGGCCTAAATTTATGAAGAACAATTATTTATTTGTAAACTTTTATAACAGAAACAAAGAAAAATGTGTTTTTTTTCAAAATTTTTGGTATTTTTTTGTTAATTTAGCAAAAAATAAAAACCCCAGCGGTGATTAAATACCACCAAAAGAAAGCTCTAGTTGTGTGAAGAAAATGATAAAATTTTAGTTTGGGTACAGTGTTGTATGACCGCACAATTGTCATTCAAAGTGTGAGAGCGCTGAAACCTGAAAAATGGCCTGGGCAGGAAGGTGTAAAATTGCACGGTATTGAAACGGTTAACAACCAGCTAAACTGCTAATCACCAGCAAAACTGCTCCTCGTGTGCATGAAGCCTAAATGGAGCATTCAGGCTTCTCCCAAGCACCTAGACCAAAAAATCCCCTACCTTAACACTGAAAGGGACACTCCATCCATAACTGCTACTGTATGTCAATTTTTGATGATGCTGGAGAGAGAAACTGCTTGACAGTTTTTTATATGTCTTGGTAACTATATTGGTGAGATTCTTGGTTCTGCACATCTGGTATTGCTGTTAAGTTGGGTTCCCACTGTTGAATTTAATCTTTATAGCATAGCATGACAATTACAACAGGAGATGCTGGATCACTCAGTAAATGGTGGGAAACCCAAAACTCTTAGATGGGCAGATACAGTCAGAAACAATAGCAGGGAGTTTGCATTGTTGCAGGATCTAAAACACAGAAGAAACCAGGGGCTTACCCAGCCTATCAGGCACCACTTACAATTAAAATATCCCTTTTGGGTGGTTTAATCCTCTATTGCCTAAAATAAGCCCTTATCAATTCAACTCTAAGGCTTGCCATATATTATACAACTTTCTTATTCAATTTCCTATTTACATTTACCTTCAACTGTGTAGTGCAAGGGCCTGCCTGATTGCTTACAAACTGAAAATGTTTAGGTTTTACCCCTTATTATATGTTTTTGGTAAATCTAAATGAAAATTGTATAATGTATGACCAGTCTAATACTTCCTATCTAAAATTAGCTCATAAAACTTTATACCTCCCCCAACTCTAGTTCTAATCCAACTCCTAAAGTAAACCTAACAATAATCTAACCCCAACGCATTAAATTCAAACTACTAACATTGACATACAAAGCCATTCATAATGCTGCCCCAAACTACCTCACTGACCTGATACCCAAATACCACCCAACCCATGCTCTTCGCTCCTCACAAGACCTCCTACTTTCTAGCTCCCTGGTCACCTCCTCCCACGCCCGACTGCAGGACTTCTCCAGGACTTCCCCCATCCTCTGGAACTCACTACCCCAATCCATCAGACTGTCACCTACCCTCCTCATCTTTAGGCGCACCCTGAAAACCCATCTCTTCAGGAAAGCCTACCCCACCCTCACCTAACAGCCGATCTCCTCCACTCCTCCTACCACTCCATCCCCACACAGCCACTTCCTCATGTACCACTATCCCCTCCCTCCTAGATTGTAAGCTCGAAAGAGCAGGGCCCTCGAACCCCTCGTGTATTGTTTTGTTGCTGTATTGTCTCATGTTCTGTCCCCCACTATAATGTACAGCGCTGAGCAAACCTTTTGGCGCTATATAAATACTGTATAATAATAATATAATAATAAATAGTCTAAACACTAACCCCAATTTGACAGCATAGTTCAACAACAAAAACAGAAAGGGCGCAAACGCCTAGTGCATTATCTTTGGGTGCTTTTTTGATGAAATAGATAAAAACATACTCACAAGCCCAGTAGGCTAGAGGTATTAGATTACACAGGTATGAAGTGCATTCATCCACTGTTCAGTCCAACTAGAATATGGATGACACAGCCAGCTGACGTGTTCTGGGCCCCCTTTCTTAGCAATAGCTCTGAGGAAGGGGGCCAGAGTCCCTGAAACAAGTCAGCTGTATACAAATTTCTTGAGAATTTTGCTTTAGATTTACCAAAAACCATATAATATGAGATGAAACCTAAACAACACTTTCAGTTGTATCCAATTAGGCAGGCCTTTGCACTACATAAATAAAGGCAAATCTAAAGGAAATTGGGCAGAAATTGGACAGAAAATTGTATAATGTATGGCCAGCCTGAGTATGTTTTTATCTATTTCACCAATAAAGCAACCAAAGATAATGCCCTAGGCGTTTGCACCCTTTCTGCTTTTGTTGTTATAGTACTGAATTCCCCAATTCGAGGAGGGCTGGACCGACTACCCTTCCAGTTTGGGTTGTTTGACCTTGGCTTATCTCTACAGTTTAAGATGGGGGCCCCAATCATTTGAGCGCTAAAGTATCAAATCCTTCATTTGTATTTTGGCAGCATACAGTGGATATAAAAAGTCAGGTTTCTGTGATGTAAAAAAATGAGACAAAAATAAATAATTTCAGAAATGTTTCCACCTATAATGTGACCTATAAACTGTACAACTCAATTGAAAAACAAACTGAAATCTTTTTTTTTTGGGGGGGAAACATAAAAAACTAAAATAATGTGGTTGCATAACTGTGCACACCCTCTTATAGCTGGGGATGTAGCTGTGTTCAGAATTAAGCAATCATAATCAAAATCATGTAAAATAGGAGTCAATACACACCTGCCATCATTTAAAATACCTTTGATTAACCCCAAATAAAGTCCAGCTGTTCTAGTAGGCCTTGCCTGACATTTTCTTAGTTGTATCCTACAGCAAAAGCCATGGCCCGCAGAGGGCTTCCAAAGCATCAGAGGGATCTCATTGTTAAAAGGTATCAGTCCGGAGAAGGGTACAAAAGAATTTCCAAGGTATTAGATATACCATGGAACACAGTGAAGACAGACATCATCAAGTGGGAAAATATGGAGCAACAGTGACATTACCAAGAACTGGACGTCCCTCTAAAATTGATGAAAAGACGAGAAGAAAACCGGTCTGGGAGGCTGACAAAAGGTCTACAGCAACATATAAGAAGCTTCAGGAATATCTGGCAAGTACTGGCTGTGTGGTACATGTGACAACAATCTCCCATGTTCTTCAAATGTCTGGGCTATGGGGTAGAATGGCAAGATGGAAGCCTTTTCTTACAAAGAAAAACATCCAAGCCCGGCTAAATTTTGCAAAAACACATCTGAAGTCTCCCAAAAGCATGTGGGAAAATGCATTATGGTCTGATGAAACCAAGGTTGAACTTTTTGGCCATAATTCCAAAAGATATGTTTGGTACAAAAATAACACTGCACATCACCAAAAGAACACCATACCCACAGTGAAGCATGGTGGTGGCGGCATCATGCTTTGGGGCTGTTTTTTTAACTGGAACTGGGACCTTAGTCAAGGTAGAGGGAATTATGAACAGTTCCAAATACCAGTCAATATTGGCACAAAACCTTCAGGCTTCTGCTAGAAAGCTGAACATGAAGAGGAACTTCATCTTTCAGCATGACAACGATCCAAAGCATACAAAGATTAAAGTTTTGGAATGGCCCAGCCAGAGCCCAGACCTGAATCCGATTGAAAATCTGTGGGGTGATCTGAAGAGGGCTGTGCACAGGAGATGCCCTCACAATCTGACAGATTTGGATTGTTTTTGCAAGGAAGAGTGGGCAAATATTGCCAAGTCAAGATGTGCCATGCTGATAGACTCATACCCAAAAAGACTGAGTGCTGGAATCAAATCCAAAGGTGCTTCAACAAAGTATTAGTTTAAGGGTGTGCACACTTATGCATCCATATTATTTTAGTTTTTTATTTTTACTTCCCTCCACCTAAAAGATTTCAGTTTGTTGTTCAACTGAGTTGTACAATTTATAGGTTACATTAACCTCCCTGGAGGTATTCCCGAGTGTAGCTCGGGGTAAAGTTTCAGCACCACAAGCAGTGTTGCTCCGGGATCTCTTCTTCACTTACCTTGTCCTTTGCTCCTGCGATGTCCCTCCTGCAGCGTCCCCGACAATGTCCTCCGGCCGATGCCGGCACCTGTCTTCTGGGTTCCATTCCCTGCGATGTCAGGGCGTACGGGGACGGAACGGCGGGAAAAATTTAAAAATGTGAAAAAGTGACATTCACTAAATACACTAAAATCACATAGTAAAACATTACTGTTTCAAAGCATTTCACATACATTTTGTCCCTAGTGCTTTGTCCTGTGCCCTGCCTGCATTTTTACCGTTCTTTTTGCCTGGAAACTGAGAAATGTCCATGGCGTCCAAAAAGCGTCCCTTTAGGTCAAAAGCGGTTTTGGACCAGCTAGAGAACAGCGATAGTAAATTAGAAATACTTGCAGAATTGAGTGATAATGATTCGTGGGGAAATTCATCATCAGACACTGAAAACGATTTTGCATCTTTGCTCAGTGATGTGCGAACTTGGCGCTATATTTCAAATTTCAGTGTTTTTGGTTTGATTATATTATTGAATTAAATTTATTCATATATTATATTTTATGATTATTTATTAAATTATAATTTATGATTTTGTGTTTCAAGTTTTATCCTACCCGGGATGTTTACTAGACTCTTGTTTGGACAGATTTCAGTGAGTTATTCCTAAAAATTACAGGCCTACAATAAAAAAAAATACATATTTCCATGCAAAGAAATGTACTGCTTTGAGCACAGAAATACTGACCTAATCAGACCGCTAGGGAGGTTAAAGGTGGAAAAAGTTCTATTTTTATCTTTTTTTTCATCACAGAAAGCTGACATTTTAACAGGAGTGTGTAGACTTTTTATATCCACTGTATTTGCCTATGCTGGTAAACTTTACACTGATAAACAATTCTTTACTAAAATCCTGCATTGAAAAGTTCATGGTGCCAAAAGAATCCATTGATTTAGAAAAAAATAGTACTCAGCAGAGTTATATTCAAATACATATCCTCATTCACATGCAGCTCTATAGAAGTCAGGCATGGACAGAAAGATATACAGTACGTTTAAGTGTGCATACCGCATTATGATGCCATTTGACACTTCAAATGTGGAAGTGATTATTGTGACATGTCTAGCCTTTTATAACCGCTTGAGAATTATGAAACCGTCTCATATGTTTTTATAAGCTGTTATAGATGCAGTTTAGAGCAGTGTTACATATATACGCAAATAAGAGCCTGGGATCAGTGGGGACACAGGATCTGAGCTTAAAGTTATCTGTGTTCTTTCTCGGAAAAAAAAATATTTATTTGCCTGAATGAGGAATTGTATTACAATATAACATCTCCTCTTTAAAGAGAAATTAAAAAGGAGCCATCATTCAAATGTATATTCCATTTTAATAAAGGTTAAATTGTAAACAGAAGTATCTCTTTCTTACCATGAAAAAATACTGTGCCTGTCCTCCCATGTCAACTGTGCACTTGAAAGGGGACTTTGCATGAAGATATAAGGTCTACATATTAGCACAGTACAAAAGCACATTCTCATTGGATTTGGGATCCTCAGAATTCCACAAGAAGGCTCAGCGATGTCACTCATGGCTAGTCCAATAGGTGTGTATTCTTTAGCTGCTCATAGATGGATCAAAATCAGACGAATTTCGACCCATATATGGGCACTGTGGTTGTACAGAAGTAGATATACCGATTGACTTTTGTATGTCCGCAATGCTGGAACATTTCCACCTGCAGTGCTGATCTGTGTAAAATACAAAGACACAGTGGGGAGGATTCCCCCATCTGCTTCAAATGTGTGGATGGGAAAATTGGGTCTTTTTTTCATTCAATCCACTGGTTGAATGAAAAAAAAGCTGACCCATCTATTGCTAGCTTTTAACATTTTCCTTCTACTTTATTTTATTAGCATTTTCTTATTCAGGTAGTGTGAGGGCCAGCTAATAAATGGACCTTGCACCTAAGAAACACCTCTAAACATTTTTGTAACTCATCTATACTTCCCACTGACACCGCCAATTGTGGAAGGGAGTTTCACATCCTTACCACCCTAACAGTAAAGAACCCCTTAACGCAGTTTAAGATTGAACAGCTTGTCATCCATCCTTATTGTTTGGCTATGTCTTTTTTAGAGACCTAAGCTTAAAAAGTTTCCTCCCAATGCTAGAGTCACCATTCAAGGATTTTTCTATCACTATCATATCCCCTCTTAAGCCTCTCTTCTCCAGTCAGAATACGTTTATTGTTTGTAGTCGTTCCTGAGGTTCTCCTGCCCCTTATTAGCTTTGTTGTCCTTCTCAAATCAAGGACATCCTTCCTAAGGATTGCTGACAAGAACTGGACAGCACACTCAAGATGTGACCTAACCACAGTTTTGTAAAGTGGCAAAATTATAATTTTATCTCTTGAGTAAATATCTTTTATGCTAACAATCTGCCTTGTTTGGTACAGCTTAGTATTGCATGCTATTGCTGAGTCTCAGATCTACTAGGACCTTCAGATCCTTTTCCATCCTCGATTCCCCCAGGGTTTCCCCCTAGTGTGTAACTTGCATGCATATGTTTAGCACCCAAGTACATTACTTTACATTTTTCTACATTGAACCTCGTCTGCCATATAGCCGCCCAACCCTCTATGTTATAGGTATATTGTGTTGTGAAATGATTGCCCTGCTTAGCTTTGTTTCATCAGCAAACCCTGAGACTAAATTATTTATTCTAAGCCCTATCATTTATGAACAAGATAAACCAAATTGACCCCAGGACAGAGCCACGGGTACCCCTCTCACAACTCCCAACCATTCAGAAAATATGCCATTAAACACCACCCTTGGGGCAAATTCCTGCAATCAGTTTTCTATGCAGGTACATACCAAAACATCAATGACAAAATCTCTTAATTAGCACTTAATTGGCTCCACATTTGGTTTTCACCAATCTGTTTGGTACCATTTCAGTTATTAACCACCCTGGCGGTATTCCCGAGTGTAGATCGGGGTAAAGTTTCAGTACCACAAGCGGTAACCCCGAGCTACACTCGGACTTACCATGCGGCGCTGCTCCGGGATCTGTTCTTCTTCTCTTACCTTGTCCTACGCTCCCGCGATGTCCTTCCTGCAGTGTCCCCTGTAATGTCCTCCGGCGGATGCTGGCATCTGTCTTCTGGGTTCCATCCCCTGCAACGTTGGGATGTATGGGGACGGAACGGCGGGAAATTTGAAAATGACAAAAAGTGACATTCACTAAAATCACATAGTAAAACATTACACATACATTTTGTCCCTAGTGCTTTGTCCTGTGCCCTGCCTGCATTTTTACTGTTCTTTCTGCCTGGAAACTTAGAAACGTCCATGGCATCCAAAAAGCATCCCTTTAGGTCAAAAGCAGTTTTAGACCATCTAGAGAACAGTGATAGTAAATCAGAACCACTTGCAGAATTGAGTGATAATGATTCTTGGGGAAATTCATCATCAGACACTGAAAACGATTTTGCGACTTTGCTCAGTGATGTGCGAACTTGGCGCTATATTTCCAATTTCAGTGTTTTTGGTTTGATTATATTATTGAATTAAATTTATTATTATTATAATATTATTTTTTATGGTTATTAAATTATAATTTATGATTTCGTGTTTCAAATTTTATCATACCCGGGATGTTTACTAGACTCTTGTTTGGACAGATTTCAGTGAGTTATTCCTAAAAATTACAGGCCTGCAATAAAAAAATACATATTCCTATGCAAAAAATGTACCGCTTTGAGCACAAAAATATGGACATAATCAGACCGCTAGGGAGGTTAAGCTGTCCTTAAAAATTGGGATCAATGGTCTGACTATAACATGGCCAAGTTCTTTGGGAGCTCTTGGGTGAAAGCTATCCAGTCCTGGTGATTTCTTCACATTAAAGGATAAGTTGAGCTTTGGGAGCATGTTACATGTTCCACCCGTTTTTAGAGTGGAACATGTTCCCAATGCTGCAGCTGCCACCTGCTGCCCCCCCCTTCCCCAACAGACGTATGGGGAGAAGTTCCCCTGTACTAGCTGTCAGATTTGAAAACAGCACGACCGTGTCATTCATCCTCAGTGTTCTGTCAATGAATGAACTGCAAGTCCCAACAGCCATAGCAGCTGTTGGCTTGTAGTTTTCAGTATATTTGCTCATATATCCCATACGGGCAAGCAGATATACTGACAGCTCTGCAGGAGACTTACATGGCCCCTGTGATCTGCTGATCGCTGGTGCAATGCTTTAAAGTCTCCTTAGACAAAAAAAATTCACATTTATTTACCTGCAAAAAAATGTGCATTTATTATTTTTGTGCAAAAGGTGAACTTGTCCTTTAAGTTTTTCTAGTCTTTTTTGAACGCATATTTGTCAGCCACAAGGGTCCATTCAATATAATGTTATTAAATTTTACCCTCTTGCTTATTATATCCCTCCTTTTCCTTTGCATAAACAAAGGCAAAGAAGAATGTATTTCATACAGTTGCCTTCTCCCTAACACTTGTGACCAACTTTCTCTAATCATCTTTTATTGGGTCAGTATGTTCTGACCTAGGCTTTTTACTATTTTTTTTTCTCTTCTCAGCAATGTGCCTCTCATAATAATCGCCCTGGTTGCATCTCTGCATTTCTTATTGTACACTTTGTATGTTTTAAATGCCGATGATGACCAATAATTACATAAGGGACTGTTCTTTCTTGTTAATATGCCTTTTTATGTTAGTATTTAGCCACCCAGGATTACATTTTGTTCTTTTATATATGTTACCTAGTGGATTGCAATGACAAATGCCATTATTTAATATGTCCTTGACGCATTCACACTTTTCATCAGTGTTCTTTGTTGTAAGCATTTGATTCCATTTAGTGTCATGTAGTGTGGTATGTAGCTTCTTAAATTTGGCTCTTTTAAAACTTTGTACTCTTGTGCTACTATTATGTGTCCTTTTCCTATCATTTAACGCAAATGTTATTACTCTGTGATCATGGTTGACTAAGTTATTCCTCACTTCAACATCCACAATATGCTCTGTGTTATTTGTAATTAGTAGGTCCAGCAGAGAATTATTTTTAGTCGGGGGCTTCCATCATTTGACTCATGAAATTGTCCAGCGTTACATTCAAGAAATGACTGCCCTTAGTTGAGTGAGTAGTCCCATCTGCCCAATCAATATCAGGACAGCTAAAGTTTCCCATGATTATAACCTTGCCCTGCCTTCCCACCATCTCTGTGAACGTAGATGGGTCTCCTTTTCCTCCTTAATGTTAGGGGGGTCTGTAACATATAACCACAATTAATTTACCTTTTGTTTTGTCCCTGTGAAGCTTCAGCAACAAGTACTCCACTTCCTCACCATCCCCTTTAGTATAGCAGAGCTGCCAACAGGAACTGGAACCAATCAAAGACAAAGAAGAGTGGTAACACTGTGAGATGAGGTTTTAAACCCCAACGGTGTGATAGCAATGCAAGACAGGGGATTGGCCCCAACTGTGTGAGGCAATTGGAACAAAGTGGCAGACAAAGCAGTGTGACAGTGGTGTGAGGCGATTGGAGCAGAGGTGGGCAGATCATTGTGACAGCGGGTGTGAGGTGACTGGAGGCAATTGGAGTGGTAGAAAAAGCTGTGAGGTGATTAAATCAGAACAGTGACCCTTCTAGTCATCTAAATAAGCAGTCACATGCTTTTCTGGGTCCAAGTCTTCTCTCTTCTGTTTACAGGACGCAGAGCCTTTCTTTCTGTGTCAGTATCACTACCTACTTGAATTGGACACTTCTTATTAGCTGTCCAGTAGTAGGGTCCTCTTACAATCCAGAAGCAGAATCTCAGTGGATACCATCAAGGAACCACTGGCATGAGCTTATTACTAATTTACCAATCCCCTGTACCCAGAAATTGCACCAGCAAGGGACCTGGATGGCAGACTTAGGTAAGTAGAACATGCTGAATGTGTGAGATGCAGTGGTGGAGGAGGGTTTCAATTGTTGCCCGGATATGGGCTTTAAACCTAGACAAAGCTCATGGGGCTTCTATCAATGTTAGGGTCTGCAAAAGTCTTTTTTTTTTCAGGCAGACAGGCTTGCAGTGAGATAAAAGGCTCAGCGTGGCACAGAATGCTGTGCATATAATGAAGTATGGCTGCTCCCATGAACATTTATAATTGCAAACTATACATAGTAACAATTTATAAATACATCAACACATTCATGATTATTTGCATTAAGCTGATCTTTTTCACATATGTATGTAAAGGAAATGAAGAAGATAACAGATCCCCTTTTAAGAACCCAATGTGCATATCTGCTGAACAAATCTGTTGAGCTATCAGTCCATCTTTGCTGGAACAGTTGAGGAAGCCCTCCATATGAGGATGTATGAGTGGCATATGCTGTGCCATGGCATATGCCGGGTGTATTCAGCAATCATACAATGTATCCCTCAGGGGAGTGGTTGCATCTGCAAAGTGCTTTTAAAATTGTAGTAGTCCATAATGGATCTTCCACAAGGAAAAGGAGCAATATAATTTCAACCCATAATGTCTGATAATTCATGTGTCAGGTAAGAACATCATCATGATGGAAAGTTCCTCTGCTGTGCCGTAGAATGGCATAAATGGACCCTATAGTCTTTCATCCAATAAAAGCAATTGAATAGTATTTTGTATCCTCTCATTAGAAGTGACATGTTGATTAAGACTTTAATGTGACAGAAATGGAATCGGTTTTTTTTTGGCACATGAAGTGCAAACAGCCAAGTCGGACTATTTTTAGTTTGTTCCAATCCCTCTGGTGCCTGCGGAATTCATTTGGTAAATAAAGTGTATTTTCAGTGAAGACATCCTGAAAGCTGTGAATCAAGCAGTCACTGTCCGTGACATAACAAGAATGTAATGTTTAGCTCTGAAGTGTTATGTTAAGAGAAGATTATTAATTCCTGTCTGAGCTCTTTACTATTAACGGGCACTGCATGCGAAGAAAGAAATCCAAGAAAATAAAATAAAAGTTTAGGACCTTGGATTTGCTAGGCTCCTCTTGCAGACTCATAGCTGGATACATTTTCTGTTTAATTCAGCTAAATACATTCCAGGTGCATCAAAACAAAAGATGGTTACAATGTTACAGCTTGCTTTCTTTAGAAAACAGCCACAGCCTAAGTGGAAAAGCCTGTCCCAATGTGCAGAGAAATTGCTTGAGAAATACCCTTGCTCTCTGTGTTGAAGCAGCGGTCTCCCCGTAGATTTCCAACAGACCCTTTGCTGACTTAGAGATAGAGCTCTCCAATCAGCAAGAAGTCTGACTCAGAAAATGATGCTGCATTAGGAGAGCAAGGGTTCTTCTCTGCAGCATGCTGGCAGATGACAGACTTTTCTGCACAAGCTGTGGCTGTTTTCTAAAGTAAACTTTATTAATTTGAAAGCCTTTTGCTTTGATGCACCTGATTATAACTGACAGTTCAATAGCACTTCAAAGTGTATGTTAAAGAAAAACAACAACACATGCAGTACATCTGTGTATTACATGCCCTGCCAGGTTAGCAATACCTCACTGACCGAAATGCATTAGCAGTTTTGTCATACCCTCATTTTAGCCAATTATTAAAGCTGAACTATACCGCACCTGAACAATGCAAATCAAAACGCTAACTCGTTCTTTTTTAATATTCAAAGCAAACTTTCCCATCCATCCATGTCTCCATGCTTTATTTTTCTGAGAAATTACTTTGAAAAACACCCTCCAACATTTCTGCCCACGGCCATCTTGAGTAAGAGCAGACGATTCATGTAGTATTTACTTCCAGGAATCCATCTGCCCTTAGCTCAGGCATGCAGACAGGCAGATGTGCTTAGCTATTTCTCTCCTGAAGACTCCTGAAATGTATGACATTCTTTGGCTAGGCCTGGAAACAAGAAAGTAACCGAAGAAACGTAAAATGAAAATTAAAACAACTAACTAAAATAAACTTTATTTACTAATGCTAGCACCATAAGAATTAAAAATGTTGATTGACAGAGTGAAGTTCCACTTTAATAAACTGTAAATGAGTGTGAAATTGCAGCAGAGAAACATTGAAAAATTAAAGCAGACCTCCACCATTAAATTAATCTCCTCTTGCCCTGCCTCCCCCCCCCCCCCTTAAAATTTTATATATACACACATACTCTATATACACTGTATACACATTTATATATACATAGGGCAGCACAGTGGCTAAATGGTTAGCACTTCTGCCTGGCAGTACTGAGGGTCATCGGCTCGAATCCCAACCACAACACAACCTGCCTGGAGTTTGCGTGTTCTCCCTGTGCTTATGTGGGTTTCCTCCATGTACTCCAATTTCCTTCCACAGTGCAAAGACATGCTGGTAGGTTAATTGGCTCCTGTCTAAATTGGCCCTAGTACTGTATGTGTATGTATGAATGTAAGTTAGGGATCTTAGATTGTAGTCCCCTTCAGGGTTAGGGGACCGTATATATATATATATATATATATATATATATATATATGTAAAGCGCTGTGTAAATTTACAGCACTATATAAGTACCTGTAATAAATAAAATACATATTTTTTTTTTCTTTACATTTATTTTTGGCACTTGTCCTGCTACACATCTGCGCACAAGTGGGTTTTCGCGTACATCTGCATTTCTCCATGCATGAGCAAAGATGGGTAACTTGGAACTAAGAAATCTTCCCATCTTTGCACACGTCTAGGAAATACCGAGGGGTGTACAAATGTGCCTACGGGCTCTGCCAGGACAAAGCCCTTCGGCATATCTGCGCATGCGTCATAATGGTAGCACCACCAAGAACAGGGACTGAAGTTCCACTTTAAGCCCCCATTCCTGGCAGTCAGGACTACGCTGTGTGGGAGAGCTGTGTAAATCTCAGGAGTGGATAGACAGAAATTGAAATCCTTTGGCAGCTCCCTGTGCATTCAGCTGTTTGCCTGGAGTTCAGCTTTAAGCCTGCGAAATAATGCAACAGTGACTCGAGAGTCTCTCTATGAAATCCTTTTATCAGCTGAGCAAAGTAGTGAGAACACTGCTCGTGCACCTTATGAGAACGGCAGCCAGTGACAATGCTGTGTTTTGTGTTGCATGCACAATGGGTTAATTATGGCCTGCATCCCATCGCATATCTCTCTGTGTGCTGACGAAAAGACCAGTAGCAGCTGGCAGGAAATGGGTATGGAAGCTGACCACAGATAAACTGTAGGATGCTACAGAGTTGCAGAAGATATAGTTTGGGACAGGAAGTCAAGCTGTCAGGCCACAGAGGTTTGCAGAATACATCTGCAGAGCTATTGAAGAATGTGGCCCGCAGATAATGGTCAGGGACACAGCTGTCAGTTTGTAATGAAGTAACTCCAAGGAAGCCTTGGGCCTTCTGTGGTACGTGACGGATGTTGCTGTTTGATAGGATAAAGACAAGCCTGTCATAGCTGTGATATTAGCACATTCAGCACTCTGCCATCAAGCTGCTCAGTTAACCCTGTTCAGCAAATTAAAAAAAAAATATATATATATATATATATATATATATATACAGTTTGTGATGGTGATTTTCACCAAAAGTCACAAATATGTCATATTTGAAAGTAGGTGTCATTTACAATTAAATGATGCAGAAATATAATGCAATGTTCATTCTTAAAGTGTTCCTAAACCCATTACCCTGCATTCACTATATCTGGTCTCCCACAGTACACACAACATGGACATGCAATTATTTTAGTAAATATAAACTGCTAAATACCTTTTCTCATCAGCAGTCTTGTGACTTTTATCAGTGTCTGACCGAGCAATGGTTAAAGCTTGTAGGAGAAGTTTTCATTCTCCTCTGACTGTCCTATGAGGCTGCATGACCTCTAGCCCTCTGTCTGGATAGTGCTGATTGGCCCTGTGCTGATCAAGTGCACTCCTAAAAAAGAAAAAAAAACCTGCTAGCCATACACTCTACACTGAGAATGTGCAGAGTGACTCCTAGGGCTCTGTACTATCAGCAGATGGATTGGGGACAGTAGAAGGGAAGGATCAGAGAAGACAGGATCAAAGAGAAGACATCTTTTTACACAATGCAGGGGATTAGCCCTTAGTGTTCCACAGTGAATATAACAAGCATGCTTTACTGCATATACAGACTGATTTTACTGTTGTGGGTTTAGTAACACTTTAATGGCACCCCAAGAGCAGACTCCAACAAACTTGCACTAAATTGCACCACAGTGCATGGTAACTTATTGCTATGCATTGTGGTGTGATGCGATATTAAAAAAAAAAAGGTGTTAGAAGCTTCAAAGATCAGTGTTCCTCAAAGTTCCAATGCTGGTGTGCCAGTATGCAAGATGGCCAGTTGCCAAGCTCAAGAGTGTGTCCTCACGCCACAAGACACCATGAATATAAAGCAAAGCTGTTCATTGATAGCATCACCTAGCAGTCTTGGCTGAATAAAGACTTACTGGTTGACATTATCAGGCTATGGCTCTGCTTCCTATTAAAAGAAAGGTGCCTGCACAACTTTTGTGCGATCATCATGCATAGGACAGCCCATTAAAATAATTGGGCTGCCCTGAACACAATGTACTTTAACACACAAAAGCAAACAAAAATGCTGGCATGTTGTCACATTTTGGTTCTAGTCCTGTATATAAATTCTTATCATGCACAATATTGTTTCAGGATCCACCTTAAGGCTTGTTCACATGATTTGTCACACACATCTCCATGGTTCTAGAGTGCAGTGGCGGCGTGCTTTACACCACTGCATCTGGTGCTTTGCATTGCACTTGGTGATGTAAGGTTTGGATGCAGCTCCTCGGTCATAGAAACCCATTCTATGAAGATCTCTGTGCACTGTTGTTGTGCTAATCTGAAGGCCACATGAAGTTTGGAGGTCTTTAAATACTGACTCTGCAAACAGTTGGCAACTTCTGCGCACTATACTCTTTAGCATGCGTTGACCCTGCTCTGTTAATTTACGTGGCCCACCACTTCTTGGCTGAGTTGCTGTTGTTCCCACTTTGTTATAATACCACTAACAGTTGACCGTGGAATATTTAGTAACAAGGAAATTTCATGGATGGACTTATTGCACAGGTGGCAACCTATCACGGTACCACACTTGAATTCACTGAGCTCCTGAGAGCGACCCATTCTTTTACAAATGTTTGTAGAAGCAGTCTGCATGCCTAGATGCTTGATGTTACACACCTGTGGCCATGGAGGTGATTGGAACACCTGAATCCAATGATTTAGGGGGGTGTCCAAATACTTTTGGCAATGTAGTGTACATGTGGGTGTGGGTCCCTGAACGTAGACTACCTGCATTCCGGGTCCTGCACCCACAAGGAGGTCAGATTGGAAGTAGTGGCTGTGTCTGTGCAGCTGCTGTGTCCCAATTGACACGAATGGGACTGCCTGCATGCAGATGGACAGAAAACATGGCCCTTCCCTAGGCTGTATGCTTAACCATATCCACGTTAATGAGACGTTACCTGATATTTATTGCTGTTTACCAAAAAAAGAATAAATAGTTTAAAAAGGTTTTTCTATGCAACTCTCAATGCCAAAACAAGTGCAACATAGAAACAAAGAAGAGGATTTACTAAAAGCAAATAGACTGTGCACCTTGTAAGTGCAGTTGCACTTATTTTCCGTAATACATATAAATGTGGCCAAGCTTCAATTAGTAAAGAATACCCAATCAGGCGCAAGGCACAAAAAAGCATTCTTGCTTGCACAAGATTGGATGATGGAAATCAGTAGAGCTTTACCACATTTACAAGCTCTGAGGAAATTGAGTGCAATTGCCCTTTTTGTCTATAGTAAATCCACCCCATAGTAGAGTGACGACAGAAAAGAAACAAACCTCCCCCTCAGACGGACAATGCTGCTGTCTGCTGTGTCCTGTGCTCATTCCTCCAGAGTAGTGTCTCACGAATACAGAAGGCCAGATCACCAAGTGAAAACAAAGGGAAAAAGCCAGAGAAAAGAAAACTGATTCAGCCATCACATCTAATGATTGGTAAGTTGAAATATATAACATTTTTGGTTTTGGGTTTAATACTGCTTTAAATTTTTTCAGCATAGATCTTTGTTTGTCCCAAGCACGTTTGAATCCACTTACTGCTACGCACTACCTCTGCTGGAAGTCAATGGAGCAGAGTTCCAGTTGGCTGCACTGCAGCCATGTGACACTTGGTCTATGCCCTTTTGCCACGCATTTTGTGAGACCCAGCTTGTTAGGGAAAGTAAATAGAGGTAGGGAAAGGTTCAAAATGAAGAGGTACAGGCTAGGGACTTGCTAACCTGGAAAGGATCCTCCCCACTTGGGACTGGACATGGCTGAAACAGACGCTGTCGGCACCTCCCCTCAACCACATCATGACTGTATTAAAATGTGAGTTATTTCCCTAAGTGGCGCCCTCCCATTAGGGTGTTTGAAATGTTGGCATTCTGCTCAATACAAGTTTCAAGTTTTAACACCACAAGACTCTGTGTTCACTGCCACCACACCACGCTGCATCTCTCCTCAGAGGAGGCAACCTAATTATATGTCCAATGTTTCAGACACCCACAAAAGGGAGGATACTCTGATGAACTTCTGAGTGACAGGAGGCCCCTGGCCACCATCTTTGCTGCTCTTCTATCCACTTGCTGACTGCAGATAGCGAAAAGATGGCTTCACTGAGGTCGGCCAGTTCTGGGAGGGCGCCATATGACATCCTCCCAGCATGTGCTCTCCTGCGCGCCCCCGGGGGCACGCACCAGGTGATCTCTGTGATCGCTGTGTCCTGCGGACACAGCTGATCACGTGATGTGGTAAAAGGCCAATCACAGGGCCAATGTCTAATGACACACTGATCACAGGGAAATGCAATTGCTGGTTATCTGCTGCACTTTCTTCATGCTGTCACAGCGTGAGGAAAGTACTGCCGAGAACCAGCAGTTGTCAGAGGAGGGATTGGCACCGATAATCAGGGCACTGATGATCAGTGCCCTGATGATCGATGCCCAGCAGTGCCACCCACCTGTGCCCATCAGTGCCACCCACCAGTGCCACCCACAAGCGCCCAGCAGTGCTGCCCACAAGTGCCCAGTGCCACCCACCTGTTCCCATCAGTGCCCACCAGTGCCACCCACCAGTGCCCATCAGTGCAGCCCAGTAGTGCAATCCATCAGTGCTGCCCAGCAGTGTCACACAGCTGTGCCGCCAGTCAGTGCCCTGCAGTGCTGCCAGACAGTGCCCAGCAGTGCCGCCTATCAGTGCCCCTCATCAGTGCCACCTATCAGTGCCACCTATCAGTGCCACCTATCAGCGCCACCTATCAGCGCCACCTATCAGCGCCGCCTATTCATGCTATCTCATCAGTGCCGCCTATCAGTGCTGCCTATCAATGCAGCCTCATCAACGCACATCAGTGAAGGAAAAAAATTAGTACTGAAAGCTGAAAATTGGCCTGGGAAGGAAGGGGGTATAAGTGCCCGGTAGGCAAGTGGTTAAAGGGACAGTATCTCAACTTTTGGGACCTTCAGGGATTTGTTTGAAGATTACTTCTTGTTCCATTGGAATTACAGAAACTCTGTTTAAGAGCACTCCAATGCAGTTTTGAGCCCCAACAGGTATAAGGAGAATAAGGAGGGACTGTGACTTTTAGCCCCAAGTGTGTACATAGTATTTAATGTTTCCCCTTGAGTCAGGGCTTAGGAGGTGCAGAATTTGCCCCTTTGAGTCAGATTTCGGATACCCTGTAAAATTAGGTTGATAAAATCGTGTTTGTGAATTGTTATTATCGCAACTGCTATTCGTTATTGCTCACAGTTGTTGTCACTGGTATTTAGTGTTGGTTCACACTAGTGCAACTTCTGATTTGACTTTAGTTGCACAGATTCACATTATTTTGAATGGTGCCCATTCAAATCAATGTGACTTAGCACAGTGTGATTTTGGAAAAGTTTCTTGTACTATTTTGGTGCAATTCAGATTTTTTCCTTGTCCCCATAGAATATGCAAAAAGTCACATCAAAATTGCATCAAAGTTGCACTACATTATCGCACTGAAAATCGCTGCAAAATCACATCACAGTAGTGTGAACTGAGTCAGGTCCAACCTTGATGTCTCAGAAGGTACAGTATTGCCTGAAGGCCTCGCATGGAACCGGGGAACTCGTTCATCCAGTGGCTCCTTCTGGTGCAATAAAAAAAAATTCCTGAGGATTCTGATGTTAATTTCAATGAGCTGATAACTTCCTGTTCCCCCTGCAGGTTATCTCAAGCAGTCTTATCAGCCCTGCCCACACTACCTCTGTGGGCTACAAATCATCTCTACCTATGTTATGGAGAAAAGAAGAGGAGGAGGTGTTTTGTAGGCCTCAGACACTTCCTGTCCTAGTGCAATAAAGCTGCTTATCTATAGATACAGTATGATGAGTGAGCATTGTCACCCAAGGAAGTGTTATTGCCAGGTGAAAATAAAATATAAAAAAATATTAAAGCAGCCACCACATCTAAGGACTGGTAAGCTGAATTATATTCCATTTTTATTCATGGGTAAAATACACCTTTATGCCATTTAAAAAAAACATTCTCAATATTTCAAGTCTGCAGTTTTCATTAATATAATACTTGTAATGTGATTGTCAATGAAGTTTGCTAAAAATCCTTTTGAATGGTACTATTCAATGTCTTTCTCTGAGCGAAAGTGGAGTTACACTTTAAACTCAGAAGATGAAAGAATAATTGATGCATCACATGCTGATACAATTCATTACAGTATATATATACTTAATTTCTAGCATATGTATCTTTTATTATTAAATGACATATGGCATATGCTTAGGTAAAGTGTACAGTTTGCTTCATTCAGTAACCATGTGGGCAGGCTTGATTTAAAAATAAAACTTCTCTGCATGCACAGCTACTTGCCCAAGACTTTTTACAAGCATTGCAGTATACTGTGCTATGTAGGTACAGTTTACCAGTTAAGGATACCTAATAGGTGAAATAAGAAAGGCTCATGTGAAGACTAAAAAATGTGAAAATAAATACTAATTGCAAACGCAAAAAATGAGGAGCATTCCACAAACTTGATATAGGTAGAAAACCTATAAAGCCCTCATTCATACCATCACATTCACATATGTATGAATGTGCCATATGTTGCACCTTTTGGAAGTGGCCTATGGGGCCTAATACTTGATATTCACCTTTGAGCACACTTTCATAAAACATTTGTACATGCAATTATTATATACATTACTAAATATTATAAGGTTGGCATCCTTGGAAGTGCAAGGCCCACCCTAGGTTTTGTATCTAAAGAAGAACTCCAGGTATGGATATTTTGGTCCAGATTGGATCAATATAACTATACCTATACCATACCTGGAGGGATTCCTCTAGAAGCCATAAATCACTGTAGCAAACACTACAACTCCTGTGATCTCCACTTGCTTCCAGGTCTCATGCCAAGTGGCTGCCCTGTTGCACTGTGAACATAGTAGATCGGTTGCTTGACATAGGTGTCGTTCAGAGATCGCTTCGCATTTTCTCATTGAATGCAAGGCATTCTATGATTGGATGAGGTGGAAAGGCAGGCAAGGCAGTGACATCACAAATCTCCACCTTTTCCAATCAGAGAATTCATCCAGATAATGCAAAGCATTCTCTGAATGGTGCCTCTGCTCAGCAGCTGATCTTCTGTGTTCACAATGCAGCAGAGCAGTCGCTCAGCATGGAACAAGGGAGCTAGTAAAGATCACTGGAGTAGGGTGCCTACTACAGTGGTTTCCAGATTCAAGAGGGATCCCACAGGTACAGTATATATCATGGCCACAAATATTGACACCCCTGCATTTCTGTCAGATAATGCACCACTTCACCTAGATAATTGTGGCAATTACAAATGTTTAATCATTCTCATGTTTATTTCTTTTGTTTGTATTGATATGACACAAAAAAGTGAAGAAACAAAAAGCTAAATCTGACACATTCCACGCAAAACCTTAAAAATGGACTGGACCAAATTATTGGAACCTTCTCCAAATTGTAAGAAATAATTTCATTCCAAGTTTGTGATGCTCCTGTAATTTGCAATTAAACTCACCTGTATCAGTTAACAGATCTTAAATGTTCCTGTGTCCACTGTGCGCAACATTGTCAAGAAGTTTACAGCCCATGGCACTGT